GGTGGCGGATCAGTATAACCACATAGTGGTCACGCCAAAGTTAATGACTTAAGTCATGGGATTATCCGGTCTTCTCTCGGAGGCGCTAAAGGTCAGTAGGCGGACTTCCCCCAGTACGGCGCTCCAGAGACCATTTCAACCCTGAGAGATTTTTGGACATTTCAAATTAGAGAAAAGGTACCGGAAGTCGGGCTCGCGTTCAACTCAAAAACCAACTCACTGACATTTTATTTCGCATTTTCAGTTTATTCGAAAATACATTTTCATGTCAGCCATTATAATTGCCTCCCTCACGGTGCAGCATCGTCGCGCCTGACTTTCGGTGGTCTTTCAGTTTTTTGAGAAATCCAACCGCGCAGAGGTGAAACGGTCTATTTCAGCAAGCGCCCCGATCAAACTTTCAGGAGCTGTCAAAACTGCAGCAAAGTGTGCGCCCGCGGTTCTCACGCGTCAGGTACCGCCGAGCTCCGGCGGGCGGGGGCAGAGTGGTGAGGGTAAGATACTTTTAGCACACTTTTACAATCCGCAGAGTTGGACAGACTTGGCGCGGGCCTTCCCTCCTGTAGGAGGCTGGGTCAGAGAAGAGGGCACGGCACGGCAGTACAAGACGTACAATCGAACACTCGCTGACAAAATTTCGACGATCATCCGATGATAGTGTGCACGCGAGTCTGTGGGGGTGGTTTGGGATCGGTCACCACCACCACCGCTCAACTCTCGCGCGGCGGGCGCAACTCGTGCGCGGAGAGAGAGGCGGTAGTGCTCCTTATCTGCAGCTTACAACTACTACACCCACCCCATATCTTATCTCACGACTCAATTAAGCACCGTATCGGTGGACGCCTCGGTTTTCCTTCCAGTTTTTCGGTCTCGAGCCCGCTGGGTGGGCGGCCCCCGCGCGGCGGCGGTCGGCTCTGCGCGTCCCCTCTCGCGGAGCCGCCGCGCCGGGGGCCGGGGGGAGGTTGCGCCGCGCGCACGCCGTCCCGCGGGCCAGACGGGACGTGCGTCGACGAGCACGTCGCGCAGGTTGTTGAGCCCCCGCGACCTCACCTGCACGTCGCACTGGGACGTCCGAGGGGTTGCAGAGAGGGGGAAGGGGGGGTCAGGGGGGACGCGACACCGGAGGGGCCCACAGCAAGTACGGCGTAGAGAGGCCCCGAGAGAGAGGCCCCGGCAGTGAGCAGGAGGCGAGAGGCGGCCTGTGCCCCGCACCGCCGGAGAGGAGATCGCGGAGTGGCGGCCTGACGAGTCGGGCCTCGTCCCTCCCGAGCCAAGCCGAGCCGGGCCGGGCGAGCTGAGCCGCGAGCCTAGCGGCGTCGAGTCGAGCCGCATCGGCCGCCAGCAGCAGCGGGCACGGCCAACGGAACGGCCATGGCGACCTACCCGACCCAACGCGACCGAAAAGCCCTCTCGTCGTGCAGGGCGACGGGGCCCAACGCCTCCCGCAGGTTCACAAACACAGTGTACTCACCAGCTGGCGCCGCTCGCCGCCCCTCTTGGACTTGTCCCTCTCCGACATGTCGCTTCCTCGGCCGTAGTTACGCAGCCACAGACGATGCGAAGCCCGAAGCGAAAGGCAGCTGCGCGGAGCTCGACGGGCGCGGCGCGGCGCGCAACGCGTCCCTCCCTCCACGAACGCGAGTATCGCACTACTAAACGAAAACGACGAAAAGCAAGACGAAGCACGAAGCGAGGCACGACTCGCAGCGAGCCGAACGCCGCCCGATCCCCGGCGCGGCCGCTTCGGGCCGGAGCCGAGTGCGGCTCGGGCCGCGTTCGAAGCGAGCGGTGGACTGAGAGCGCGATGTGCGGGCCGCGCGGCAGACGAGGACGGACGACACGGGCGAGCCGGCCTTCCGAACGCAGCCCACCGATCTAGCCTCGTTCGGGCCACGGGCCGTACCAACAGTACGCAACCAACTTCCCTCCTCCCTCTCTCCCCCTTTCTCTCTCTCTCTCCCCGTAAGGGGGTGGTGGCTTCCCTGACGCAAACTTCCTCTCAAAATACCCGCATCGTTATCCCCGACCTCCAGGAGGGGAGACCCTCGACTCGCATCGAGCAGGGGAGGACGCTACGCATCGTCAGGGAATCACGACCCGAACCGTCACGGGTCTCACTGTTTCCTGTCTAAAACTGAACACTAGTTACGAACACGCCGTTCGCATGAATGAGATGATTACCGCCCGAGGAGACCTCGTGAATCATGTCGGGTACATTCGAAGTCCCGTCATTCTGCGGCCCCGCCCTGACCTGCCGCACCTTGCCCCCGCGCGCGCACCTTTTTGCCTTCCCCGTCGTCCTCCACTCCGCGCACCGGTCGCATTGTTGCCCGGAGCACGCCGTCCTCCTGCCCCGTGCCCCGTGGCCGGGCGCCGCCGGTACGCCGGTACCGCGCCGCCGGTGCAGTGCGCTGAGCCCGAGCTGCCCCCGTGAAGGGGGGGAGGGAATAGCGTTCAGACATTCACAGGCGGCAGGCGGCGCTCCTGCAGCGGGACGACTACTGCAATTACAGTCTTTTCTTTGACCTGGTTTCCCAGACCTCATCGTTTGTCTTCCCCCTCGCGACGGCTTTGGGGGGCAGGTGACTCGCGACGAGGCCCCCGCCCGCCTCGAGGACTCTATGGACGCCCGTCACTCTCACCGCCCGGGTCGACAGAAGCTAAGGTCAAGGGTTGAGACACATTAAGACAATTAATCGCACGTTCGTTCCCCCGATCATCATCTGTCGGCCGGGCGCGCGACGATACCTCGCGGGTGGAGCGCGGGGCAGCGCCGCGGCCGGACAGACGTCGCCGCGACGGAGGGTATCGTCCGTGTCCTCGCGACCCAGAGTAGCGACGGAGCGACCCCGCGCGCGAGCTCCTCTCGGGCGTAGGATGGGTTGCCTACCGCACGGCGCTCACGGGCACGCCGCGAGTAAAGAGCCTCAGAGCTGCGAGTTGCGGCGCACCTCACCTAGCTAGATCTGACGACGTCCGTCCACAAGGAAGAAGTTGCTTCACCCGCTGTAGATAGGCAATCCTAGCCGATCCTAGCCGCACGGCTGCATGCGGTACAACATGGCTTGGTATAAGGGTACAATCATTGCTACAAAGGGCTGCAACAAGAAATCGCCCGTAGGCAATCTGGACAAGAGAGAAAGAATAGGCGGTCCCTTTTTCTGATCAGTGCATTAGTATTACGTCTAAGCATAGTGGAGGACTTCAGTATACCAGGTGGTTGATTAACCCCACGCACATCTGTAGTTAGACTGTACTGCACGCACGAGTGCGAGTGGGTTGCTTACTCGTCCGGCCAGTAAGGCACCGTGGACAGGGGCGATAGGCAAGCCCGCCCGCACTCGTGCGTGCGGTACAGTCTAACTACAGAAGTGCGCGGGGTTAATCAGCCACTTGGTACAGGGTGGTCCACAGGCCCCTTACTTTCATTCGCTTATACTGTTCCGCATGCAGGCGTGCGGGCGCGTTGCATACTCACACGGGGCCATGAAGCACCATAAGGGACCAGAAGGCGCCGTGGTGAGCGACGGTAGGCAAGCCCGCAAGCACGCCTGCATGCGGCACAGTATAAGCAAAACAAGGGAATGGGTCTATGGACCACTTCGTATGCTCAAGACGTCAACACAAAAAAGCAAAACAAAATGATTCCGCCCAGGATCGAACTGGGGACCTTCTGCGTGTTAGGCAGATGTGATAACCGCTACACCACGGAATCCCGCTGTGAGAGGCCTGCGTCCGGATCGGGAGTGGCTCGCCACGTGCGCGCGCAGGCCGAGGCCCGAGCGGCTGCTCAAGGCGTGGCGGGGCGGGGCATGGAGGGGAGAGGGCAGGAGGGAGGCGGGGAGGCAGAGGACGGCAGCCTCTCTCCGATGGAGCAGAAAGGCGCGGGGCCGGGCGGCCCGCCGGGGCTCCTGTCGTCCTCAGTCC